TCAACATAGCAAAGACTTTAGCATATCTCATAGCTTTCTTAACTAATTCAATTCTCTTATTTTGAATCTTCTTAGCATATTCTTGTTTTTGTTTTAATACATTAGCCAATTTAGCTCTTAAATATTTACCAATACCTTGTAAATGAACAATCTTTCTTCTCATAATGGATTTCTTACTTTCTAATTGTTTCAATTGTCTTTTAATTCTATTTTCTTTAATAGTAAATTCACGAACAATCTTTCTTGCTTGATTCTTTTGGATTAATTGAAGAGCTCTCTTTTTAGTAAGATTAATTTTCTTTCCTTTTTTCATAGCCTTCATTTCCATTTTTGTAATTTTAGCTTGCATAGATGTTCTAAGTTCTTTAATCTTTAAAATAGCAGCTTTCTTCTGAGAAATTAATTTTGTTCTTTTAATTTTAAGTGACTTGCGTGTTTTTGAATAAATATGAAGTCTTTTTTGAAGTCCTTCAATTTGGGTATTAATCTTTTTTAATTTACGATGAATCTTAGATGTTTTTCTATCAAATTGTCTCTTCTTAGCAACTTCTCTTAAGGCAATCTTTCTAGCAATCTTCTTTTCAATAGAACTTCTCATTTTCTCTGAGATTTGTGCCTTTTCTCTTTCATATTTATTATCATCTTCAAGTTCAAATTCTTCTCCTTCAATATTTACAGTATTTTCTACATCTTCTGCAAATATTTGGGCAATTAACATAAAGCAAAGTATGAGTTGCAATAATTTCATTGCTCTAAAAAATATAATTTTAAGTTCTGTCTTATATTTTTTTCCATTGATTTTTCTTATTTTCTTTTTTTTTTTTAAATTTTTAATATCAAAAAATAAATTAAAGTGTATTTTTAGTAAATAATGTTTTTCATAAATATAGGTTTAAAGATGATTCTAAAATAGCAAAAAGTCTGTTTGATTATTTTTTCAACTCCCTCCTAAAAAAGAAGAATAACTGCCTTAATAATTGAAGAAATAAGAGTTGACCAAAAATAGTGAATCTGGTTTTTCTCTTTTTAAAAAAAAAGTATTTATAAAAAGCAATGTAAAAATAAAAGAAAATAAAATAAATTGAAATAAATAAATAAATGAAAAGAAGAAAGAACTTAAAAAGTCTCAAAAAATAATGGAATTTTTCTTCAAATTTGAAGGTGTTTTTCATACAGAAAATGCACCAGAATGTAAAGATTTAACACAGAAATGTACTAATGAAATAATTAATACGATGAGAGTTTGTTTTTGTAATACAAAACCCAAGACAGCATAATAATAAGTAGGATTGTAATAATCCAGACATTGAACCATCTCAAATGTCTGAAATGTTATTAAAAAAGAAAGACCTAACATCAAATTTAAAAAAATTAGTTAAATTTATGAAAGGAGAAGTCGAAGTAATTCAAGACCTGGATGAACAGAAAGGGTCAATGGAAGTTTATAAAGAAACAAAAAAATTAGTTAAAGAATTAATTGAATTACAACAATCAACTGAACTTGATGGAGAAGGAATTAAAAAGTTTTGTACTGGAATGGTTGATGTAATAAAACATGTTTTAGATATTGTTATTTTAACAGACAAATGGTCCATTAAAATTTCTCTTGATTATATTGATCAAATTTATAAAAGTATGATTAATGCTGTAAAATCATTTAAAGAATTAGGTCCTTTAGATAGAAGAGAATTAACTAATTTATATAATAACGCTGGTCTTTTAACTAATTCTATTGCTCAATTCACTTCAACTAGAGCTTGTGTGTATCCAGATGAACGTTCTGAAAGAATGAAAGAAGACTCTATTGCTTTAAGACCTTCTTTTGATAATTTTTTGAAATTCATTAGTGGTGTTTCTGATGATAAAACATCAGTAACTCATTTTAAACAAATATTAATGGAAATAAAAGATATTTTAAAAGACCCTGCACAATTCTCTGCTTCAATTGATGTTACTCAAAAAGATAACCTTGAAGATGTTTATAACAATTTCAAAGATGTCATTGATGATCCTACCCTTCCTGATGATGAGAAAGACTCTGCTTCTTTAGCTCTTTTAGAAGGATTTGAAGGAAGAGCTATTGCTAATTTACATAGTTCTGACCCAAGACGTGCACGTGCTGCTACTGCTGTTGTTAAAAAAGTAAGAGAAAATACTGTTGGAAAAAGAAAAAAAGAAATGCTTATGGTTGCTCGTTCTTTAGCTAAAGATATGAAAGCAATTTGTGATCATTTAGAACCATTAGATAATACCGTTAATAAAGAAATGAATGTTGTTACTGATGAGTTGCTTGGTAATCTTTGTGATAAATTAAGTGCTTATTAATTCCTTTAATGAACTGTCTTTTCTACAAACAACTTTTTTGTTGATTCGAGTTATTCTTTAAATTTTGTTTTGTTTTATAAATATATGAGTTATATCACATTTATTGCGTTTATTATTTCTAGTATTGGTGTTTTATCATTAATTAATAAAACAAAACATCTTTAAACATTTTTGCTTTTCTAATAAATTCTTTTTGCTTTTTTGAATATGGAGGAAGTTTATTCATTTAAGTAGAATAATTACTCCTTTAGTTTAATTTATTTTGTTTATTATCTCATTTTCTTGAAAATAGTCGATTATATGAAATTCTACTAAATTGTTTTTACATTTATCTTTTAGTTCTATCAATACAAATTAAATTTGTAGAGCTGAAACTTGAATATTCTAAAGAAGAGAGTTGGGAGGGGTATTTCTTTTAAATTTGTTTTTTTTTAGAAAGTTACATAAATGATTTAGTGTGTTACTAAAGACTGCATTGGTATAGAGGTTTTGTCTTAAAGATGGAATAGAATAAAAATAAGATTTTGGTCATTTTGTTAATTTCATCACAAGATTATCAAGCTATTATTAAATGTCTACTTAATCATTAAGTGCATGAAAATTTCTGCGATTACTTTAATGAAATAATCTTGTGTGTGTTTAAAGACGTTAGTAATATTTATAATTTTGTTTAATTTTTATTCAATCTTCTTAAGAAAGAATAGTGTGATAGAAGAATTATTTTAAAACATTTAAAATAGAAAGGTAAAAATATTTATGAAATATCAAAATTTTATATTCAATTCATTGTGAATTGAATTGAAAATGGTTAAATTAATAAAATACAATTCTTGTATTAAGTGATTCAATAAATAGTGAAACTATTGAATATAGAACTTAAGTATGAAAAACTAAAGAATAAGAAATGTATGTTATAAAGAGAAAATTTATGTTTTCTAAAATTTATCTTGTTTATAGTTTGTATTTTTAAATCACTAAGCGTATTACCATTTATGTAACATAAATAAAGAAAAAGTCAAATAACATTCAAAATAAATTATAGGATTTATAATGATAAACTAAACATGTGTATTGAAAATAGAGAATATGAAATATGATAATTGATAATTAAATATATTAAAATGAGTTAAATTAATAAAGGTGAATAAAAATTAGCAAATAAAACATATAAAATATAATAAATGAGAAGCAGATATCAATAACAAAAAAGGAGAATAAAAATAACTTAATTAATTCATTATTCGATTCCATTACATTTGTTTTGATTTTTGTTTAAGTATTTTCTCTTCATTATTTATTTTTTCTCTTTGTATTATTTTATTAATGATAATTGATTCGAAGATGGCACGTCAGAGACACCACATGAAACCCTAAAATAATCCCATGCTTCGAATCTCCCAGTTATCGTCTGGTCATGACGTGCCTTTGGTGAGATAATATCTATTCAACACTAACTGTTTATTGTTATTAATATTTATTAGAAGTGATTATTATAAAAGATTATTATTCATTAACGTGTATTGTTATTCATTGAGGTGTATTATTATTCATTGAGGTGTATTGTTATTCATTAACGTGTATTGTTATTCATTTTTAATTATAAGGATTATTATTTACTAAGGAGGTATTATGTATTAAGAATTATCATTTATTAAAGAAGACGCATATATAATTGATATTGTTGCACAAAAATTAAACGTAATGATATTATCAAGGAATAGGGTTTCTTTAAGGGGTGTCGAAGGTAAAAGGAGATAAGCTATAACAGTAAGTTATGGATATACTCTCCTTAAAACAACAATATAAAGAATGAGAAATATTATATTACTTATTAAAATCAAAATAAAAGTCAGGCAGCAACTTAAATGAGGAACCATTTAAGTCGAGCATGCTTGCAAAAACTTTATTTCAATAGAAATAAAGCGTGTTGAAGAAACTGATTCACTCACTTCTCAACATGATGAAAAACCTAAAAAATAAGGTTAATCATAATTGATTCCTTTTTTTTTTTTTTTTTTTTTTTTTATTTTATTAATGATAATTTTATTTATTTTATTTCTCTTTATTTGTTTTGAATATATAGCAATTGAAATAACTATTACATTATATTTTGATATATCTCATTTATACATACAGTCAAAAAGGAGATAGTAGATAAATTTATATTATATATTTCATGATGTTTTAATTTATTATATTAAACTATTTCTTCAAAGAAGATAAAACTTCTGAAACAACACACAAATAATATAAAAACAAATAACAAAAGAATTAGAAATTCATAACAACCAACAAATATAAATGATAGAAAATCAATGGAATTAGACATTATTTATATTAACATGACAATGATAATAATTATATTATTTGTTTTATTCATAACTTCATTCATTTTCATTATATGTATTCTATCATTAATTCTAATATAAAACATAATGTATCAATCAAAATAAAATGTGAAGAATGTATAGACAATATCAAAACATTGAACAAAAAAGAAATAAAAGAAATAATAAAATAGAAATAGTATGAAAT